ATTTACATGCCACCTATGACATAAGGAGCCACCTGTGGGGACATGAGTTAACCAGTGTCCTTTGTTTCACTTATTCTGCTAATGTTTTAGCAACCCATGTTTGCTGGCCTCCTGGGTCAATGCCTAACAGATCTTTAATCTGATTCTAGGAGTAAAAGGTCCAAAGTCAGGCCGTGGGGAGGGTGGGAAGGTTCCTGAGGGAGGAGGTATTAGAGTCAAAAACTTGAAGGCTAAATTAAATTTTCCCTGGAGGACAAAAATGGTGGATGGGGAGGAATAGCATTTTGGAGTAGGGAATAGCATAAGAAAATGAATAGATTCAGGAAGAACCATGGTATATTGGCATGCCTGAAAGTAGTCCAGTGTTTGCAGATTATTGAGGTTATACCATGTTTAGAAGACAAGAGATGAGGCTGGACAAATGGCCCAAAGCTGCAAGATGACAGGCCAAAATAGGAGGTTGTGCCTTCAGTTTAGGCAACATGAAATGAGGAACAACAACAACAACAACAAAAATCCAATTTTTTAATGGACACACAAAACTTTTCCCTCCACATTTCATTATGACACTTTAAAAAAATATAGGAAAATTTAAAGATAAGTTTAGTAAACAACAATATATGTTAGAAATTCTTTTTTTTTTTTTTTTTTGGTACTGGGCATTGAACTCAGGACCTTGCGCTTGCGAGCCAGGCACAGTGCCACTGAGCTACATCCCTGACCCCAGAAATTCTTAATTCATTAAACTTCAACTCTTTATTTTCTTTCTTTTTTTTGTGGTGCTGGAGATAGAACCCAGGGCCTCACCTATTCTAGGGAAAAGCTGTATCACTGAGCTATATCTCCAGCCCAAAACTCAACTGGGATGAGTATTTATATGATTGAGTTACTAGCTAAACTAGCAACCTTTTCACAGGGCACCAATTCTCACTTGAAAGAATAACTATGCTACCTTTCTAGGGTAGCTATAGAAAATTACCACAGCCCAAATGCCTTAAAACAACAGAAATGTTTTCTCTCTCAGTTTTGAAGACCAGAAGTCCAAAATCGAGGTGCTGGCAGGACTGTGCTCTTTCTTGAGACTCTGGGGGAAACTCTGTTTCTTACCTCTTCTAGCTTCTGGTGGCAATGGGCATGCATTAGTTGTCTTTAGCTTGTGGCAGTATCACTTACTCTCTGCCTCAGTCTTCACTTGGCCTTCTTTTTTATCTTCTGTGTATCTCAAACCAACCCCTGCCTCTCTCTGATAAGGAATTTGTCACTGGATTTAGGGCTCACTAGAGAATCCAGGATAAGCCCCTTGACTTAGCCACATCTTTTGCTATAAAAGGTAACATTCCCAGGTTCTAAGTTGAGAAATGAATATATCTTTGGAGTGGTGGTATATTGTTTTCTACTTATCACAAGATGACTGATGAGTAAACTATAGTTATCCAACCGTGAGTATTTGCCAAACATTTTCTTGGAAATGAACAAAGAGAGCCTATCACTTCAAGGAAAAGAATTGACATTATTGTTACCAATTAGAAAATTCTAGCTTTCAAATAGAAAGTAAACTTGTACTCACCACCAAGATCTTGACAGTTTTTCAATATGTGAAGACTTTTCTGATGAGATTGTTTTGTTTCTATGAATGTATAGGATTTTATATATATATATATATATATATATTCTGTAATGAATGTGTCAACATTTGGAGGTTTTGCATAACTTAGTGAATCAGTATTTTTCATACGGTTAGTGCTCAGTGCTATAAAGTTATACAAAGGTAAAAAATCCATTTGAAGTGCAAATAGATCAGTGGGGTTTAATATAACAAAGTATGAGAAATTTACTGATAAGTTTTTAGATTTCATACTACAATTAACTTTGAGGTTTTTTTTAAACTAACTTTATCACTTTTTTAGTTTTGGTTATTTTAAAAAGGAATATGCACAATCATCTGAGAAGGCCATTAATAATGTCTACTGTTTACCTAGTACAATATCCGTGTGGCTAAATTTTCTTCATATACTTTAACCAAAACAACATATCACAAAAGATTAAATGTAGAAGCAGATATGAGAACCAAATTGTCTTCTATTAAGCCAGATAGTGAAGAAATTTGCAAGAAATATAAAACATTGTCACTACTTTTTTCATTTTGGAACATTTATTTTCATAAAATATATTTTAGTGATATATGGCTCTTTAATGATTTAATAAATATTCAGAAACTTACTCCATTTAATTTATGTTATGGTAAAGTTGACAGAATTAAACCACTAAATGAAAGCTTTCTGTGTTCCTAATAGTTTTAATTATGTATTGGGGTCCCCAGTTTGAGAGCTGCTATTCTAAGAGTATGGACAGAGGAGTGGGAAGTTGAGGATATGGAATTTGCTGGACTCTAGATAGTGGGGAGAGGATTCCAACACACAAAAGGGCAGGAAGAAGGACTGACGGGCAGGAAGAACACCGCTGTGGGTACAGTCAAGTAGAACAATGTGGTGGGACCCGTGGATGACATTGTAAAATAATGGGAAATCAAAATTAGAGGGTGGTGTTCTGGGTGTGTTGGTACACACCTGTAATCCTGGCATTTAGGAGGCTGATTCAAGAGGATTGCCATGAGTTCAAGGTCAGCCTGGACTACATAGTGAGTTCAAGACCAGCCTGAGCTACATAGCAAGACCCTGTCTCAAAAACCAAAAAAAGTTATAGGGTGGTGTATGGCCAGGTTGTGAAGGGTTGTGAATCTGACACATGGAATCTATCCATTCTAAAGCAGTAGACATACATTGACAATTCTGTAAGTGGCAGTAACAGTCTGGTGGGGTCACTCAATGCACAGGAGTGAGGTAGAGGGTCCTCTTGAAACTGTCACCATGATTCAGGATGAGGTTTTGAGGTTCACGCTCAAGTCAGTGGAAAAGAACTGTGAGAGTATGAATGAACACATGGGGCAGACAGATACACGGTGGCAAAGGGGCGGAGGGACAGCAGCGAGACCAGATAGAGTCATAGCAATAATATGACAGCTGAAGCTATCTTGCCAACCATCAGACTAGTTAAAAAAAAAATTCCACCAGTTCCCCATGCTTCCATCTTCTTTAATTGTACAGACTAATTTTAAATTCTCTTCCATCAGCCAGCTTTCTTGATAGAACCATAGTTCTATCTTCAGAATGATCAGCAAAATTTTATCCTTCATAACAAGTGGTGTTTACAGGAGAATTCAGAGTGTACTCTGTAGAGGGATGGGAGAACCAAGTCTGTTTACTGAGTGAGGAAGGAGTTTCTTAGAAAAGAATGTACACCAAAGCCGCAAAAAGAAGGTCTACTGCTTTTAGCAAAGTAGAGGTGCCTGGGTTTGGTCTAGAGACATTGTTATGGCAGGAGGGATGCAACTGAGCACCACAGAGTGTATGCTATCTTATTATTCTGACTATCCACCATGACTGTGCCGACGCCTTCTTGGTAACCAAGCACCTCCTAATTCCCCCTCTGGAACATTGTGTTGTCCTTGAGACTCTCTTCCCTTTTGCTCCCATGTCATTTGCTCCTGGTTCTCTTCACACCTCTCAGAACAACATTTATTCCCCCTTGGAATTCTGTCCTTGACTTTCTTTCCCATACTGTATACTCTATGAGATTCTATACTTGCCTCTTCCTAAGTATTTTCAACCACTTAATGGCTTTAATTACTAGAAAATAAATTCCCTAGGGGCTGAGATTTTTTCTTCCCAGCTATATTCTCAGCCCCTAGAAAAGTACCCAGCGTATAGTGGGTGTTCTATATAGAGTTTTTCAGTGAACAGATGAGTTACTATTCATGTGCAAAATCCTCACGTAACCCTCATAAGGCCTGGCTATCCTGAGTCCAGTTTAATACTGAGCATATTCAAAAGAAACATACATTTGATTCCAGGAAAAAAAAAGATTTGTAAGTGCAGATAGGAGGAGCCATTCTAGAAGGCAATCTGGCAATTCTTGGTTAAAATAAATGCACATATACTCCAACTCAATAATCAGTTTCCTAGTTATATATGCCAGAAAGAAAAAAAATCTCATATGGATCCATAAGAGAACATAAACGAGGATGTTCATTCCAGCATTATTTGCAGTAAAGAGACTTGGAAGCAATTCAGATGTCTTTCATTGGGAAATGTCAAATGGAATGTGACAGAAACACAATAGGGGATACTATGAAGTAGTTGGAAGCAAATATGTAAACACAGCAGCATACATCAACCTTGAGAACATTGTGCTGTGGAATGAGGTAAGAGGCAATGATCTCTATTGCACAATGTCACTTATGTAAATTAATAACATATGCACAGAGCCACAGAAAAATATTCTAGGTCTTGACCCTGGTACTGGTTACATAGGTAAATACATATGTATAATTCAGCAAGCTTTATAACTAAGGTCATTGCACTTCACTGTATGTATGTTACACTTCAATTAAAAAAATATACACACGGGCAACTCACTTTTGAGACCTTTCCAAGATCTCAGGAGCTTTCTCTCAATAAAGCTTTCCTTCTACTCTTTCTTTTCTTTTTTTTATGGTACCAGGGATCAAACTTAGGACCTTGTGCTCGTGAGGCAGGCGCTGTGCCACTGAGCTAAATCCCTGGCCCAAGCTTTCTTACTCTTAAAAAAATACACACATAAAATAATACACACTGTAAAAGAACAATTACCAAAATAAAAGGATATGTCTCAAAAACACATTAGAAATTTGCTTGTGGGAGAGAAAATGGAGAGACAAGTGAATAAATAAATGAGATAATTTGATTTAAAAAATTTAAAAATGGGACTTTACATGAGCCAACAATGATAATGTGCCCTGAATTGAGAATTTGCAGGTCTGCTCTGTATATTTCATCTACCCACCTATGAGTTTAACTATCTGTGGAGTTGTCAACTGACACATCTATGTCTTGGTTCCCAAAATCTTATTCACATGTCTACTCTCTTTCTAAAGCCAAACTCTATCTCTGTTTGCTTTCTAGGCACCACACCTGGATGCCTTCATTTCTGTATCTTGAACACTGAACAATGCCATCTTCCTTCAGAGATGGTCTCTGCCAGCTACTGAAGATCTAGTGACTAAGAGAGTCTGTGTGCCTCTCCATATGCTATAGATTGGAGCAGCATTTTGGACCAGGAGTTTCATCATCTTCTGGACACTTATTAGAAATGTGGCCTGGCACAGTGGTGCACAGCTGTAATCCCAGCTACTCAAGGGGCTGAGGCAGGAAGATTGTAAGTTCAAGGCCAACCTGGCCAACTTAACAAGACCCTGTCTCAGAATAAAATGGGGCCTGGGGATATAGCTCAGTGGCAGAGCACTTGCCCAGCATGTATAAGCCCCTGGGTTCATCCCCAGTACCTCACACGCACACACACGAGCACACGAGCACACACACAAAGCTGCAGCCACTAAGGCTCCACTCCAGGCTTACCGAATCAAAACTTTTAAACAAGATCCTACACGATTTGTTTGCACATCAAAGCTTGAGAAGCACTGCTCTATTTCTTGCTTTATTTTGTTAACCAAACCTAGAAATAATTGGAACCCCTTCCAGAGTACCTAAGAGGGGTTAAATACATCCTCGATTCAGGCTTTGTACGCCAGGGTCTGTTCGATAAGGAGTAAGGCATCCAGAGTTTTAGCCTCTTCTTGGGTGAGTGGCCTTGAAGAGGTGACTCCTTATTGTGCATTTCAGTAGCACTCTAGATTAACAAAGCACTTCTCCATCAATTTATTAGTGATTCTCGCAAACTCTCTACATCATCTTTCCAAGCAATAAATCGTGGTGAGTTTTCTTGGTAACCCGTAAATGATTGATAAATTGTAAACAAATGGGTTGTAAAGGTAACATAGCAGAAAAGTGTTTCAATTTGCCTTCATCTGTCGTCATGCATTACTTAGGGGAGAAACCAAGTGCTTCACAGACTTGATCCTGTATTTAGAACATAATTCTAAACAGAGGCAAAGAGAGAACAACTTTATATTCCGTTATACAAACCATTAGTTTACTAACGCAAGGTAGGTTTGACAAGGTGGTCTGTCCATCCAGTGACATTAGCTCAACTGAAATCTAACATCAACAAAATTAAACAAATGCTTTCCAACCTCTGACTTACATGCGCCTCTATTGAGTTTTTGTGTTCACCTAGAGACTAAGCATATTTTGGTGGTAGTTTACAGCTAGCCTCAGTTTGAGTTGATCATAAAATAAAACGATAAATATGGACTCCAATTTTTCTTCTGTATAAATTGATTCTTGAAACAGCTTCCTCCTTGCCCAGAGAAAGAGTGAAGGGCGACTATAACACATTCTATCCATCTGCACACATTCATCTCCAAGAATCTCTGCAAGCTCTCCACTTCTCCCCCAAATTGCTTCTCTGCATTTCTCTGCCAAATAAATACGATTGGCTTCATGTGCTAGATGTCTTCTTCTTCCAATGCCTTCCTCTTTCATAGAAAGGCTTCAGTTCTCTGTTGCTTCATGCGCACAGCCTTGGGCCAGCCTTACGTGGCCAAGTCCCCTGACTCTCCAGCCCCAGAATAACAGCCTGGTGCGCATCCTGAGCAGTTGTGATTCCAGCCTCACCTCGCAGGGATTGGATGCCGCCTCCCTATCTGTGCAGACCCTCAGCACGCTTCTTAGATTCACCTAGGGTTAGCAGCAGTCTGCAGGTCTGTGGTTTCACGGCCAGCCTGTCAGTTTCTGGGATGGAGATACCCTCTAATCCATGTTTATCTCAGAATAAAAATCTTCCCATCAAAAGGACATCAGGAACCAGCAACCATTGGCCCAATGAGAAAGCTGCTTATTTACCAAATTACAAAGAAAAAAGATAATAGATGGAAGATTGAGTGGTGCTACAGATACCAAGACAAGTGTCGACAGCTACTTAAAACTGGGGGGAGTATGGATTAAAAAAGAGGGTGTGGGTGAGAAAGATAATCTTCTGGTGGGCAGCATCAAAGAACCTGCTGACCCTGACAGAATTTCACGAGTGCCTTGCCAACACACACTGGGGAAAGCAATTATTTTAAGAAAATCTATTTGAGGGTAACACTGTCATTATCCTTTTAATGGTACTTCTCTAAAAATCCTGTTACAGTCGACTTTAAAAAATAAGAAATGCTCTTTTTGCCAATACAATTAAGGAATTTTGGAGAGGCAGATGGTATTAGTTCAGCTTGTCGAGGCTTTTTCTCGCCACGTCTAGAAAAGAACATTTTTGCAAGTGGAGTATGGTGCAGTAGCCAAGTCCAATCTAGGCATGCACAGCCAAGAGACTGTAGTGGTCTACCCAGAAAAATAAATAAATAAAAGAAACACCAATGCAAAAATCGAGGATTCTCTAGGTTTTGGACAAATCTGTTTTACATCAGTGGAGAATAAGTGGAAAATTACTATGCTTTCCAAATAACAAGAGAAGAGATAACTTTGGGAAATTAACAAGAACTTTCTCTCTGTGTAATAAATCAGTTGCCCCAAAACTTTTTCTCTGCATAGAGCAGCTACATTTGCCTGACATTAAGTGATTCAAAAGGGCTTTAAGCTTAGCTAATTAAAGGACTGTTGTTAAGGAAGCTGGTGAAATGGGAGTGGAAAAGTGAAAAGGTTAAAAATTTGGTCCATGTCCTTTAATCATCTGAAATCCAAAATGAATCCATAGAATACTCCTCTGACCAAATGGGTTCTTGCAAGCAAGTTGAAAGCTTTATAATACATTGATTGATAAGCCTGACAAATCCAAGAGCCTCCTCTAGCAGTATACAAATGCTCTCATTTTATATTAACTACAGCAGAAATGAGCAAAGTAGAGAAGTGAGAGGAATTGGAAAAGTATATTGCCCTAAAAATTTGTAACCACAAATCATTTCCCATTCAAGAATATAAGTAGAGATCAAGTTTTCTTCTATCCAGGTAAAGATGACCACATTATCATGAGCCACAAGGAAATTCATCAATCAGGGCTACACCTCTGAGATGGTTCTTAGGCTGGAATTCTTAGACAATTGTATTGGAAAACAAAAACTTTCTCCTTATTGGATATTTCTATGTAAAGCTTTCATGTGGGCTTCTTCACAGGTGATGAGATGTAGTAAATGATGTCTGTTGTGTTCAAGCTTTTATGTCCTATAAGACCATGAGTTCAGTGCATAGTCCATTTTTTACAGAAGTTCATGTTTAAGCAGGAACATCATGCCCATGCAGTAAAACTTGCCAATTGAGGCCGATATATTTTAGATATTGACTTCATAATACAGTACAGGCATTCATCTATGTGTGGGCAAGGTATACCAATATTACAGCAAATCTTTCCATGACCCTGTATCATACTCTAGCTATGTATGTCTTGCCTCTCTCCTTCTGCTCATGGCCAAATTTCTAGAGCCATTAGTCTTCATGTACTGTGTCCATGACCTACCTCCTCTGTCACTCAATCTTCAAGCTACTGAACTTTGGCTTTCATTTGCCCAGTTCTGGAAAAACTGTTTTCTAGCAGTGTCATTATCAGCCTCCAACTTTTTAAGGCCATAGACTCTTCTCAGATCCATCACCTTTCTCGATGTCTCAGCATTTTATACCATGGACGAGTTCCTCTTCTTCAAACTATCACCTTCCCTTACTTCCAAGATCCCTGGTTCTCCACTTTCCTCACCAATTGCTTCTTCTCAGTTTCTTTTATGAGTGTTTCTTCCCTACCTGCCCTTTGAATCCATGTGCTGCCTCAAACAGCTCTTAACACCACATAAATGCTGGGAACCCTTTAATCTCTATATCTTTGAGACCTCTATTGTTTACAGAATAATTTTTTTTGTTGTCTCACAAGTACTCCAAAATTATACCCAGCATTCAATTTATAACTTCTTCCCATCTGTCAATGTTTCACCATTCTAATGTCATTTCCTTAAAAAAGTTTACAGCTCTAGTTTTCCTGTGGCTCAAGGTAGAATTCAGGAGTTACTACTGTAAATTCCTCCTGTTTCTGCATCCTGTCCCCCCATCTGGTCATCGTTGTCATCGGCATCGGCATCATCATCATCATCATCATCATCATAATCATCATCATTATCAGCTGTCAATCCTACTGCTTGTTTGCTACTCTCTACTCATTCAGTCCTTGCCTGGGCCAGGACCTCATGATCTCTCTTTGGACCTGTGAACACACTGTCTCCAGCTTCTGAGCCTTTCATCATCCTTTCCACTGACACTGGTGGGTTCTTGCTCACCCCCCAAATTTGATCATGGAATTACCTTCCCAACATTCTTTGTTGTATTAGTGTAAGCATGCTTAAGTGTTTAGTGATTAAGTTTGCAACTTATTTTGAAATCCATCAAGAAAATAATGGAGAAAACAAAGGAATGATAAATGGAAAGATATGTGATGAACAACAGTACTCTTTATTGCCCCAACACAGGTATGGGCCCTAAGAGCTTTTCTGTCAATATTGTGGCACAAACAGATGAAGAATACTACTTTTGTTTAGCCTTTTGTTTGTCATCAAACTAATGAGAAGGAATACTTTGTCAATGAGAATGAATTAGGATCTATAATTTGGATATATCAATATCCCCCATAGCACTGTAGATATTTAAAAAATTATTACTTCACATATGCTTTCTGGGCATTGATTATTCATTGACATCCAAAAGCAAGTCTACCCTGTTTGCTTTTCTGTATGTATGAAATTAAAACAGAAGTAACCTCTCTTAAGTAAAGACTAAACAGATTATTTTGTTAATAGTAAGCTATTAACAATGAATCCAGTAGATATTTAAAAAGAGTTCACTGAAGACTCACTGTGAAAGTGCCTGGGTTGAATGCTTTGGAATTAACTATGAAACCTTTTTTATAACAAAATCTTTTTGTGACCTTCATAGGTAAATGATTTTTGATTGTGTTCAAGACACTCTTTTATATAAAATCTTACCTTTCAGAGAATAGTAATTTTGTGAGGGTCCAGAATAAAGTTAAGAAATTTTTTTTTGAAAGTAGCACCATGCTAGATATATTTGTAATATCTAAAAATAAGAAAGGATTTATTCCACATTGTACTATTTAGCTGTAATCTGGAACTGTTTTGTCACAAGAAATCGGAACCAAGCATATCCTAGTTCCAAGCATAATTTGGCATTATTTTATTATATGTGGTTCCAATTTCTTGGAATGAAATAAGTCCAATTTGTTTCTCGTGAATCCACTTCAGAACAATCTTTCCAAAGGAGTTTGG